CTACCCAGTATATTCTCCTCAACACTATGAGTATGGAGCTCATGCGGAATTAGACTACAGGTTTGGCAAAATTTACATTGATTCGAAATGTAAAAAAAACACACTGTATTTGATTATTTACGAAGGTCATCAGTTCTATACGAGTAATATACAGTACTTGTTCATTAATCGCTCGAAAAATGTTACTTAGATTAGGTGATTCTCGAATTTACTGCTACCAATTCTGATAGTAATATTTTGTAGCAGAATGTTGAAATTATAAGTCAATTTATCATATTTATGTGTTGAATATATGCACTCATTTCAAAAACACATTGTTTAGTTTCATGATTTCAATACATTCCAAATCGACAATTTTCGAACTTCCTGAGTTGAAATAGTTTAGATACTGGCAAACAGCAGAAAATATTCCTCGCAATAGCATCCATTCATAATTTCAATCCATTCATCATAACATAATTTCAAAATTTTGCTTCAAAATGATACCATTAGAATTGGTAGCAGTGAGAACGATAAGTGTCTGATCTGAGTGAGTTCTTTTGAGCGATTATTCAACTAGATGATATCAGATAATTATTAATAAAACTTGTTTAATGATTTTTAAACTCTTCAAATTGATATACTTTGTTATAGAGTGTTACGATGAGAATTGGTGGCGGGTTAACAAAAAGTATCAAATACAATTCAGTTTTTTCTCCTCTCCAAGATTATCTTGATGAACTTTGTTACACTGAAAAAAAGATTGAGTGAAATTTCACTCAAGGTCCACGCAATAATGAGTCAATTTCGGTCCACGCCCGATTGTGTTGAAATTTCACCCTACTTGACTGTGTAAAATGGTAATTTATGAACCGATTCAATCAAATTTGTTATAAACATTCTCATTGATAAGAGAACTTGATGAAATATCTAGTTTGAGTTGAGAATTCACTCAAAAATGCAATCAGTAAATTCACTCACAACCACATATGCATTCACTCAGAGGAATTTTCTACAGTGTAGTTATTGGATAGAATTTGTGTTTTTTATATTTCGGTTAAATGAAAACGTTTCCTGAAGCCGAACATTAATTTCTGATCCTTCCGATAGGTCAATAAAGTCAACGCCCCAAATTTAACCTTCATACGAAATTTGAGGAAAACATGCTGCATGGGTTGTTTTATACTCATGGAAAAGTGAGTAATTAATCGAAGTCGTTAAATCACCCTGTATCTCTGTTATGAAGACTGTGAGACTCATGAAATATGGTATTTTCAGAACAACCCTGGTGGTCCCTATCTACCATTGAAGTATTTTCCTTCACCTGTGGAACACCCTGTGTAGCAAGCACATTCATATCCCTAACAACACAGGGATGTCCTAGGTACGTCCCTTTTTTGTCCCGCGGTACAAGGACATGATTGGGGCATCCAGGGGATGTCGCGTAGTGGTTGTCCAGTGTACATCCAGCCCGGTACATCCCTAGGTTATCCTATTCGTGTCCCTGGAATATCTGATATCCATTCACATCAGAGTCATTGAATTTCATCAAAGTATTAAGTTGCATTTATTTGAAAATGTTTGTTTTTCTTCCGGAAAATAATCGTAATGAGAATAAAGAATAAAGTTTCAGAACTTCTTAAGAAATTACCATTTTTCGCAAACAGAAATCGTACATGCATAATACCCCTCATTTTTAAACACCCAAGAATGATATAATAATTATACCCAAATCCTAACAAAGCTGTATTTATTCAGGTTTCTGTAGTTAAGTCCTGTTTATAAATCTGTTTAGTACATGAATCTTCAGGAGGCTCAATAGCCAATAATGGAGTAAGATGCGTGCCTGATAAGCCAAAGGTCCCGGGTTCAATCCGTACTCGACCTACATTTTTTTTTCTTTTGTCGAAGGGATGTCCCTAGTATATCCTTGGGACGTCCTAGGGATATCCTTTCTTCGTACTTGGTACATCTCAGGGACGTACCAGAAGGACATTCCAAGGATGTCTTATTTTGTGGAAAGCGGATGTGCCTGGGACGTCCCTAGTATATACCATGTCCCGACACAGGATATCCCAGGGACGTCCTCGTAGAAAATGAAGGACGTCCCTGGGATGTACTCGTGTTGTTAGGGATAGCATGTTTTTCAAACATTCAAACTTCTCTAACAATAATGTAAACACTCTCCTATAATATAACATACAGGGTGAGTCAGAATGAGACCGACAAACTTCGTTTACGGATTCCTAACCTCACTTTGCTTGGGATGAGAAGTTCCTATCACCGTATGTCCTAAAATGCATTCTGTCTGAGATACAGGTTTATATTAATTTCTTCTATTAAAAAGTGAATTCAAATACTATACAAGAATAATGGGGTTATTTACTAGAAGTTTTCATTTTTGAATTTTGATAACTCGTGGCGTAGTTATGGTCTTATGTCGATAAATTCTCCTCTTTATTTTTCTTAGACATATGAAATGTCGAATTGGTGTGTAACATCATTTAGGCTCATTGATACCTAACCTAAAGGTAATAACATTATTTCACATGCCTATAAATGTAAAATTTCCGAAAAACTAAATATATTTCTGGAAGTCATTTTGCTGTCACATGTTCACAAAACGAATTGTAAAGTTCGATTTCATCCACATATTTGAAGACTTGTACCTCAAATATGTTGCATCTGTACGACATAACTCAATATGAACTGTTCACCTGAAAATAACGTGTGGAATGAGGAGTAAGTTTTTTTCCCTCAAGATATATCTTCAATTCATCGCAAATATCTCGGAAACCTCTTGAATTAGGCATATGAGCGAAGGTTATTACTTTTAGGTTAGGTATCGATGAGCCGAACTGATTTATTATTCCAATTCCACATTCCGTTTGTCCAATGAAGACAATGAGGGCAAATGTGACGACGTAGAAGCGTAACAATACCACTGCTCAACGAAATTCAAAACTGGTAGCTCTATGTGATTTCAGTCATTGATCTGGGATAGTATACTGAGTTTGAATTCTTTCACGACAGGGGTTCCGAAAGAATTATAATAATTCTTGATTATCTTTATATACTTTTGACTTCCTGTATCTCAAATTGGATGCACCTTAGGACATATTATGTTGAAGGAAACTTTCAGCCTCAAAATAAGGTGAGAAATCCGTATACGAAGTTTGTCGGTCTTATTCCAACTCACGCTGTATAAAGAGTTTCCAAACTTAAGTCGTGACTATTGCTGAATTGATTATTATTGGAGCTACGTAGGCAGTTGAATGGACAAAATAATATTATTTCTTCCGATGATTACACTGTAGAAAATTTCTTTGAGTGAATGCATAATTATGTGGTTGTGAGTGAATTTCCTGATTGGAATTTCTGAGCGAATTCTCAACTCAAACTAGGTATTTTGTCAAGTTTTCCTATCATTGAGATTTTTATATAACAAATTTGATTGAATCGGCTAATGAATAACCATTTTACACAGTCAAGTAGGGTGGAATTTCAACTCAATCGGGCGTGGGCCGAAATTGACACATTTTATAGCGTAGACCTTGAGTGATATTTCACAAAAAATTTTTCAGTGTACGATGATCAGAACGAAACAAAAATCTAACATTGCGTTCACGAGTTTTGCCGAATACTTCAATTTCTTCAAATGGGACATCAAGAATTCAATTTTCTCCATAGATAGGGAATTTATGACAGTTAGGACAAGTTCATAATACCTCGACTAACACAATCACTTTGACAAACTTGAAAAATTATGGATGGTTTAGTCATTTTTGCAGAATGAGTATAAAAAAGTATATGACAGTTTTTGTCATATTCGAAGTTCCTATGGATTGAGATTATTGTATACTGGGTGTCCCATTTAAAGAAATTTAATATTTTGACATATCTCGTGATCGCTATGTCCGATTTCTCTTTCGATTGCATGCAATGAGCGGAAAAACACTACTAGTTTGCATATTTACCTGATATTGTAGCTTCGATAATAACGAATAGCAATGCCGACTCAAGTTTGAAGGCGCTGGATAAAATTTACGAACTCGTTTTCACCTTCCTCTTTGGAAATCGACAACTTGTAATTTTTTATTATATCGGGATTATTTTTGAGCATCAGTAAGAGGAAGAACGATCAGGAATTTGTTGAATTTGAGAGAGTTGAAGTAGCCACAACTATTTTTTGTCAAATGGAATGCCAATATTTCTCTTTCAATTATTAGAGGAAAATTCAATTCCGCATCGATCGATAGTGATATATCTGATAGTTCAAGTTATGATGATACATTCTCGATATAGAGGAAAATTGATCACTATTATCAAAGTATCAAGTATACTGTTCCTGAGACATTTTTCCATGAAAATGAGAACTGTCTTAATTGTGCGTTCTTCAAAGTTATTCAAATCAAGACCTGATGATTTTCTTCTGAATTAATAGGTGATATAGTTGAATAGTAAACATAATACCTTGCCGCTTATATTCAACAAGAAATATCCTCACTGGCAAGCGCAGTACCCATTCTTGCTGCTTTTGCTGGTCCGAACATCACAAAGTTTGATTTTGATCTTTTGACTTCCACCTATTCAAGGTTTACAACTATTTATACAATGAGCTTATTGTTCAGCAAAAGCACATCAATTCTCCGATAACTCAATTAGCCTATAGCAGCAATAATCCGAGTGAGGATAGGTAGATTATCCTGTATATTTTATATAAGGTCTACTACATATAGATACTATACCTACTCACTATTCTTGTAGAAAGTACCCACCAGTTTTGGAAAATATGAATACTGGCAGTTATTTTCAAATCATTCAGTGGGCCCTAATCGATTAATCAAAATCGCAACCAAAACCAAAGGAACATTATCATATCGAAAACAAACAGGAAAAAGATGGAAATCACTCCCACATACAATGAATATCTACATCACAAGACAAAATTGTGATCAAAATAGATCTGATGATATGCTCACATTTTTTGATATATGCTCTCATAGGGATAGAGAAAAATCTCATGGTGACAGAGGTGGTCCAGGAATATTCCTCAAAGCAGTCAGCGGTCTTGCGATATCATCTTCGTACAAGCTTCTCGTCTTACCGACTGTTGATATCTCTGCCCCTTTCTCGACTCGTCCTTCTGCACTAGTGGCATAGTATCCTTCAGGAAAGCTTGGATTGTTTGTGAATATGTTCTGGTTCATGTTTATATCATCATCTTGCCCAAATTCTTGTAGCTGGACACCGAATTTACCATCTTTTTTCGCCTTCATTCGGCGGTTTTGGAACCAAATTTTTATCTGTCGTTCTGATAAACACAGTGTGTGAGCAATCTCGATCCGTCGACGTCTGGTGAGATATTTGTTGAAGTGAAATTCTTTTTCGAGTTCCAAGGTCTGGTAGCGGGTATACGTTTGGCGAGTTCGCTTGTTTCCTTTGGTTGCTGAATCTGATGCTGCAATGAGAAATCATGATAAAATAATAACGAAATATATAAGTAAATCACAAAATTTCGATGTGAGTATATACTGTTAATTGTGTGAATATACCAAGGCAGAGAGAACATGCATTATTGAAATTGAGTTACGTCTCTGTTTTATTTTATTCATTATTATTATTATATCATTTATGAGTAGGTATACAAGAAATACCAGATGAATAATTGGAATGACAAAAGTTTATTTTGTTGGTGGAATGTTGTTATTTCTAATCTATCAGAAGATCTATTTATGTGGGGGTTTCATGAATGACGTGATCTTTAGGAGACCTTACACTGAAAAAAAATTGAAGGAAATTTCACTCAAGGTCCTCTCCATAATGTCTTTATTTCGGTCCACGCTCGTTTGAGTTGAAATTCTTCTATACTTGACTGTGTAAAGTGGTAATTCACGAGCCGATTCTATCAAATTTATTTCAAACATTATTTCATCATTGGGAAATATTGATGAAATATTTTGGTTAGGTTGAGAATTCACTCAAATATTTCAATCAGTAAACTAACTCACAACCACATTTTGTTGAATCGGAGATGCAGGTTGTTGAAATCAAGAATGTATAGTTTAATATTGCATTAACAGTACATCAGTATCAGATTCATCATCAACTAAATATATGATGGCTATGGATATACGTTTTGTACAGTTAATGAGATAATGATATCATTATATGAAGAGAATACATATTTGAAACAACAAACAAGTCTTCTTATTCCGATTTATATAGCAATGCACTTGTTTCGAACGGATCATTTGCTTGGATAGGGTAACACAATACATGAATTATCTGGTTCATTCAACAGCAAGTTGCATTTTCGCTACTTGATGGTGATCTTTTAGCTCCGTCTAATTGACGGCATTATGGGCATATATGCATCGAAAACATTATATATACATAAAGTCTGATTGTTTGTTTGTTGAAAATCGACTGAAATAATCAAACTTGATATGCTTGGCAAGCCGAAATAGACTTTCATCAGCTTGGGAGTAGTGAAGACTGAAGAGCTATGCCTAGAAGTTGACTAGCTTCCCAATTATTCATTCTATATTGTTGAAAACTTCGAATAAATTCCCGAATCACATTACTGAATTCGGTACAACAAAACAATTAGTCATAATGAAATACAGTTTCCTTTGAATCGATGAAATATTCCATTGAATCATCAAAATATTTCATTGAATCCACGAAATGTTTCATTGAATCTACGAAATATTTCATTGAATCAACGAAATATTTCATTGAATCAATATCCTGTCACTTTGAATCAAACTAATCAATCAAATCTCTTTATAAACAATTAATTGATGTGTTAATTTGATTGAATAACATCCAGAGTTCAGGCGAGCCATATATTAACTCGAATCAAACTCGAAATTTGCATTGAAACAAAATGAGGTTTCTTATATTTCAAGATGATATTTTGTCGTGCATACCGGGTGTAACAGGATCATAGTACACCAAACAATTTTGATGAACTTAAATTGGTGATAAATCAAGAAATTCTACATTTTTGACATGATACAATTATTAGTATTACACCTGACAATGTGAGGACATCAGAGTCGATCAGAATAGTCATTACATACTCAGATGGACAATCAAAAATTAAATTAAAATCAATATTGTATTGTAAGTTTGAAATGTAACTCATATGGTATCATTGGATTCAGAAAATTATGCAGAATTCGAAAATGTATCGAAATCGAAAGTTATTTATGTCAAAAAGTGACGTTTATCCAGTTGATGGATCCATGATCATGTCACCCAGTATATGACAATTTAATTTACTTCATTGAAACAAATGTTGCTTGATTCAACGATTCCTTTTTTTTCGTGTATGATTTATTCAATTATAATATTGTATCATCGCAGAAGTGCCATTAACAACTTCATACAAGCCATTATATAATGTTCATTCGTGATGTTGAATTGCATAGGTTCTTTCGTGAAGGCGAATGTGCTATATGAATCCTATGAGTGTAACAGAGAAAGAAGTTATATATTGCGCCGTCACACCCATTGAGCTTATGGAAATTTCGAATGCGAATATCTTCTAATCGTTTAAAACAACCCAATCAAACCCGATATTGTTGAATTCGTTAGAATAATATCTAACCGGTTATGGAATAAAATACTCTAACTGATTATGGAATGAAATGGAAAGTTGATGTCATTTCTAGAAGCATCGGAAAATGAAAATAATTTCCTAAAATTTGAGGAAGTGTCCTACAGTGAGCATATCGAAAAAAATCATATTTGTGAAGGATTTTCGCTTTTAACATCAGCAGAACACACTGTATTACCACGTATTACACTGTTGTATTCATGATTCAATCTCATTCAGAATGATGAAAGTATTATGAATTTTGTAGTACCTCATAAAAATCCGAGTAAAAATCCAAAGAAGAGAGCGCCGTGGGGGAAGGAGGTGAGGGGATTAAGAATTAAATTACATACTGTCTACACGACCGCCGCGGCGGTTGGATACTAATTCATAAACGACCGCCGCGGCGGTTGGATACTGATTCATAAACGACCGCCGCGGCGGTTGGATACTGATTCATAAACGACCGCCGCGGCGGTTGGATACTGATACATAAACAACCGCCGCGACAATATGTCTTCCTTCTTCGTAGAGAGCTTGGTAGAGAGTACTTCCGAGCAAAGCGATAGATCAGTTGACAGTGTACCTGACCACCCCATAAGCATAAATGTCTCACGAATAATTTTTCGAAAAATATACTTATCAGGAGAAAGGTGTATTTAGGTGAGTTAGGTTAGTTTGTTTGAAAAAAGTAGTCTCCTTTTTCATGCAGAAACAATATTTTCTTTCCTCAGGTTTCACGGCGGTCTTCTATATAAAAATAGGTAACCGCCGGCGGTTGTTTATATATCAGTATCCAACCGCCGCGGCGGTCACATGAACAGTGCCATTATATAATGTTGTATTTGCAGAAAAAGCTGCCACTCGAGTAGCGACTATATCCGCATGTAAGCGATTCACAGTTTTCCTTACATATTATGTCTCATATTGAAATGTAACTTCTTCTAAATGTTTACTGCTCTTTACTTGAATCAACGAGTATGTCTTGATTATTGTTGTAGTTGAAAAATTATCAGTTATATTCCTCATAAAAAAATCTCATCTTAGATATACAGGGTGATTGAAAATGTGATGTGAATATCTCAACGACATATTGTTGGCATCAAAATGAGACTTTTTCTTCATAAAAACATGTGTCCTAAAATACACCTCCTCCGAGCTACATCTACAGCAGGTTAGGTAAAAAAAAGGTTATCTAATATTGTGACTAAAATAACGAACCAAATCTCCTGAGAATTTGCATGTCCCTTTATTTTTAGACACTTCATTTTCTTCTTGCTCCACAAATTATGTAAACCCAGTTTTGGTGGAGTTGGAGGAGGGTCCACACATTCATTGGCCCAAATTTTATGTCTAACGATAGAAACTCTGCCTTTGAATGAGACGATTTTGTGGGCCATAAAAAATGTAAGAATTTTGTCTCTTGCATTTTTTTCATGCAACTAACCGTTCGAGAGAAAATCGTGATCAATGAAAGGAGTGATCACGACATCGTTTTCGAACGCAATGGGTTAAACGCTTGCATACGGAGGTGATCGTATGTCGCATGTCGGAACGCATTTGAGACTGCTATTTCAGAGGCGTGCAGTATACTGGAATACTTACACTTGATCCGTTATTATGATCATAATTTCAGATATCAATTTTTTTTAGCCCACATACAGTAGCTGTAGCTCGAAGGAGGGGGTATATAGGGACACATGCTTATGAGGAGAAAAAGTCGTTTTTTTGATCTCAACAATAGTCCTTGACATATTTACATCGAATTTAAAATCACCCTGTATAACACAGGAGTTTAAACATGTATTCCTAGTTTAGATTTTTTGTCATATTATTTCCATTGTTGTTCAACATAATTACAAACTGAGATTTTCATTAGGTTTGAATGAGCCTTTCATTCTTACTCACATAATAATATGCATTTTGCATCACCCTCTCATTCTAATATTTAAGTTTCGATTTAAGTAAATAATAGATATTCAGAGAACAAAATGAAGTATCACTACAATGAGATTTATCATTTAGGTATAAATTACGTATACCGTTTTCGATCACTGTTGTGTTGAATACGTTTTATTATTAGTTCATTCCGAGGTTCATTCATGATTGAAGTCAAATAGAAGAATCTATTAACAATTCATCCATTTCAGGGGAAATATAATTTATGCCAATGAGTTTTTCTAGACAAGTTATATTAGTAAATGGAAGTATCGTTTTTTGAATTATTACTGAAATGACCATAATTATGGTATACCAAGAACAAAAAGAAAAATCGATGAAAGTGTCAATTACCATGCGAGCTCTTCATCCATGGATAAAAACTGCCTTGAACAGCCGCCAATTGATCTTCGGCACTTTTCACATCTGCAGATCCCTCATCTTCATTGAACGAAGTTAAGTCTTTATCGTCGCAATCAAAATTCCCCTTTTCACGTCCACTATAACCATCTTGTGCACTTTTATGCAAATCTCTGTAATCATACGTTATTTTCTTACCACCAGGTTTGCTTAGCAGTGCCCTAAGGGCCGGCGAGTCTTCCTTGGACGTTGACTCATCGGATTTGTTCAATGTTGAGCTGGGACTTGAGTCATTAGGCGGAGAATTCGTTGCTAATGAATAAGCTTGTCTACAACTGTCAAACTGGTTCAAATTACTCGTAAAGTTTTGATTAATAGGTGTTGGGCTCAAAGAATTATCCGTTCGTGTTTCCAAGTTTGAATAGCCTTGACTCGATATGAATCTACAGTTGTTATAAGTTGGTTCTTCCTTTATTGGGTAGGTCGGCGTCTCATTAATAAAGGGATAAGTCATATGACCTTGATAACCACCTGAATCATGTGTGTAACCAGAAACTCTTTGATCGCAAAGGAAATTGTTGTTTCTCGGCGTGTAGTAGCCCGGATTCCAATAATCACTAGAAAAGTCCGCACTCATACTTTTAGGCACTGCACTCGTTCTGTACGTGATTCAATTGCAACTAAATCTGGCCTTCGGTCTTCGGTTGTTTGACATTGTCACCGATACCCCGCTAGTATGAGCGGGAGGGGTTGCGACCCCCTAAGGTTGTCGCCAGTCTTTTATTTCGCCAGCTGCCCTGTGAAATTTACCCACCCCCGACCATTCACTGCGTTTTCATATTTATTAGGGTATTGGCAGTATTTCAGAATGTGAAAGTTGGGAATTTCATTTTGTGATGTTTGGCTATTGAAGATTGAAAGTGAGTTTCGCCTTATGTCTCTATTTGCAGATTAGATCAAATTGGCTGAGTTTTAGCGCATGAATGGGAAAGTCAATTATGGTATATTGTATTATAGGGCGAGTTTTTGAAGCGGTACCAATGCTTATGGCAAGGTTAAGATGATGTCATTATTTAGGGTATATTGTCGATGTCATCGATAATATTGTCCACAATTTATGGATTGTTTTTACTATTCATTTTCTGTAAATGTATATACTTCATCAATACGTTTTCTCTTTGAGAATCATATATATTTCAAAATAACGTTGACTATTATTTTTTATCGATTGCTTATATGTCAAATTCGACAGTATTTCAAGAATTCGCAAAATCTTATTTTTTCTCGAATCTTCAAAAAACATTGAATGAATGCATTGTTTTCCTTGGTTTTCGAACTGCTTACTAAAATAATAGGAATTTCATTCATTCAGATTTTTTTTTTCATTATATACAGGGTGAGTCATGACTAACCAGCCATAGCCTAATAGAGGAAGTCGAGGTGAGTTGATATATACAGTGTGACCCACTTCTAATGGAACCACCCCTGTATCTTACGTAATCGTTGGGTAAGGATCCTGAAATTTGCTGGAACTAGAGATATTCCAAAAATGCACTCTATGACCAAGTGGGGTCATCTTCAGTGATATACACTGCTCGCCAACAGCCATGAAACTACCCCAATTTCCGGAAAATGATATTAGGAGTCAAAATAGGTCGAAAATCACTTCAGATTTGGAATCAGGACGCCCAATTTACTAACTATTCAAATTTTTCCTGGAAAATTTTCAGTTCGGAAAAATGAAATTTTGTCGCATTTTTTATGGAAGCACCCCCGTATCTCACGTAATTATTGAGATAGGGTTCTGAAATTTGCCGGAGGAAGAGAAAGTCCAAAGATAAAGTCAATAAACGATATTTCAAGAACCTCTCGATGTTATCATCTGAAGATGACTAGCAACTTACCTCTACTAACACTCCACAAGATGGCGTACTATGGTGAAGAAAATTCAGAGACGGACTCGGGAAATTCATTTTCTTTATAAATGTTATAATTTGGACTTCCTGGATCGTATTCAAAACTCTCATCAGAATCAGAAAGATCAGTAAAGACACTACAAGTGCAGCTTATTTCCAATTTGTACGGCACACTTCGACCTATTAGGTGAAAAAAAGTGAAAACAAAAATACTGATGAATATTTCTTCGATTTCGTTCGGGCACATTTCGCTCTACATTCGATTTTAGGTATTGAAATCTTTTTGTTTTTCAATGAAAAAATTCAGGACCGGACACGATTTTTGGAAAAAACCACAAAACGATTATAATTTTCGAAAAAGCTATAGCTATACCTTAACAATCTTCAACTATGATTCTCGAAATGTCCTTCTTCAATTTCTTCACATTTTTTGCATCTCTTCAGGAGATCTCTCATGGTTTTCAGAATAGTTTGCCTATAGTAACTGTCCTCTCCCTCAGTTCCTTTTCTTAGAACTGAGTATGTTCTACACTGAATTCTGCAGCGGTAAACTTGTAGGAATCGTATTTGAAGAAATACAATATATAGAAATTGATTGACGCAATGACTTTTTTCAGAAAAAATTATATTGACTTCTATCAAACTCAAAACTTCAGAACAAACACATTTGATTTATATCATCCTCGTACATACAGTGTCTTGAAAATCTCTTGAACAACAATATCTTCTCACACCTCCCCTGGATCTCTGATTCCTATCTTCTTGAGATACTCTTTAAATCGACTTGACAAATACTCTCCTCCATTGTCGCTTCTTAAGGAAACTATTTTTGCTACTTGTTGATTCTCAACATAATTCTTGTATTGAACAAACTTTTCAAATACCTCGCTTTTCTTCTTCATCATTTCCAATACGCAATATCTCGAAAAATCATCTATAAAAGTCACTACATATCTATTCCCACCTTCTGATTCAGGATTTATTGGCCCAACTACGTCAGAATGAACCAATTTCAGCGGCTTGTCTTCTCTGTGTTGACTCTTTTTTGGAAATGTTGATCTTCTCATCTTTCCTTCGATACAAATTGAACAATCTTCGTCTTGTCTTACTACTTCATCTTCTTTATAATCTACATCATTGTCTACGTCTTTTTCTGTTTGATTTTTCATAATTTTCTTCACATTCGTCATATTCATATGGCCTAAACGTCTATGCCACAATTGATTTTCTATAGTAACTGCTTTGTTCGTCTGCTTTTCAGTCTGGTTCGCATGTTCTGAAATTTCTTCTTCGTAAATGTAGTGCAATCCCCCAACTTTTATAGATTTGGCAAGAATTCCTCCTTCTTCTGTTCCAATTACTGCTTGTTTTCCATTAAATTCCACTTTCATACCTCTTTCTGCGGCAAGAGTAGTTGAAATCAGATTGGATTTTAATGATGGAACATACAAAACAGCTTTCAATGTGATTTCCGTCCCTCCATTCTCTTTCTTCAATTTTAGATTTACGTCACCATATCCAGTTGATGTTAGTGTTCCTCCTCCAGCAACTTCAATGTATGTTTGCATTTTCGTAAAATTGCACAACTTCTCTTTTTGAAAAGTCATGTGATCTGTAGCACCACTATCCAATAACCAAGTGTTAGAATTTGGCAAGTTTTTAGCTACATGCAATAAATGATCTACCTTCAACGCAATTCTTGAATTTATTGAACTGAAAACTGCTCTGGAAGAATTTCCAGCTTCTTCGTTGTTTGGAACAGACTGTATTGGCTTCGATAAAGGACAATTCTTTCCAATGTGTCCCATATCCAGACATCGGTAACATCTGAGATTTTCATGAGAAACACGCTGACTCGTCTGCATGTCTGGCATATTATGAATATTCTCATGAGATCTCTGCCTGTTTTGTTTGTGATTTCTTCCGCCCTTTTTATACTGCGTAGGGTATTTTCTATGAGACATGAATGCTTTCGTCGTATCACTTCCTTCTTCTTTCGTAATATTTTCGATTCTTCTCTCTTCCTCTAATAACTTTGCTTTTAGCTTGCACATATTGAGGTCATCATCGTCTGCTCGTAAATTTCTTGATAGAAATTCGTATTCACTTGGCAAACCAAGCACTGCAAAACCAGCTTGAACTTTATCGGCAAATTCGAAACCAGCATTTTTCACCTTATGATATAATCCATTTCTTCGGGTCAAGTATTCATTGATATTTTCGTCTGATTTCTTGGATGTGTTGACAAAATCTTTCAGAAGAAGTAATCCGTGCCAAGTATCATATTTGGTATGGATTTGTCTTAACGTTTCCCAAATATCTCTGGCAGACTTGCATTCCATAACGTCATCTAAACTATCATTATTTATCAATAAATACAAAATGGATTTAGCACTGTGATCAAGTCTTTTGTTATTTGCCAATGTTAGGTCCGCATCCGTTAATCCTGGATCTATAATACTCCAAAGATTTTTGACCTCGAGAATTCCTTGAGCTCTCATTGACCAATATCTGTAATTTTCTGAATTCAATTTCTCCACCTTGAACTCGTCCATGATCAGATTTCAATCCTTGTATATTTTACAACGTCCTATATACTTGAGTTATCTGATTGGTTTGAATCTTCGTCGTCCCTTATATTAGATTCAATAATTTCTTCACTGATATTCACTACTGTTGGGTATCTGGGCCCATAACCTCTTAGAACTGAGTATGTTCTACACTGAATTCTGCAGCGGTAAACTTGTAGGAATCGTATTTGAAGAAATACAATATATAGAAATTGATTGACGCAATGACTTTTTTCAGAAAAAATTATATTGACTTCTATCAAACTCAAAACTTCAGAACAAACACATTTGATTTATATCATCCTCGTACATACAGTGTCTTGAAAATCTCTTGAACAACAATATCTTCTCACACCTTTTTGGTGTTGACTTCAGTCTGATATACCAATCGTTTCATAGATCTCCATATAGATGATAGTCTAATACTGTTGAGAGACCTAGAAGGCCAAGAATGAGGCTTGCCACGACCTATCTAGCGATTAGAGAATTGGTTGTCGATAGGTATTCTCTAACTTGTATTGAGTAATGTGGAGGTGCCCCATCCTATTGAAATGAAATACCTCTTTCAATCCATTTGCCTTCTTCTTTAGGGCTTCCTGAATCGTGAAAACACCGAACATACAATTCAATTCGCTGATTGAGAGATCATATTCAAAAGGTCTTGAAGAGTTCCTCTTTATGGTATGAGTAGGCAGGTATCTATTTGATTCGGATAGGAATCTTTCACCTAAGCCACAATTACTCATATTGAATGAAATGTTTCCACATTTCTACATGTAGCAGCAGATTTCAATTGAAAGTTATTTAAGTTCATATTTCAAAGGTATCTTCCAGAAAATCAAGTCAGGTCCTGGATTTTTCATCAAATCGAGCCTCTTTTCAACTCTTATGATACACCGATATGCAAGAAATGGTTTCAAATGAATTTGTCGAACGATTTGACTACAATATGCCCGTGCGACATCATGGAAACGTTCATCGGTATTTTGTTCGCTATTTTTTTAACGATTTGGTCGAAGTGTGCCGTACAGAATGAAGAGCTACACTTGTAGTGTTTCTCCTGATCTTTCTGATTCTGATGAGAGTTTTTCAAAAATACGATCCAGAATGTCGAAATTATGACATTTATAAAGAAAATGAATTTCTCAAGT